AATCCAAGTGTCAAATGTCATCATGCCTTTCTGTTTCTCTTATGCCTGTGCTGCTTCACTCATTATCTGCCTGTGTATCATCAGACTGCTGCTGTAAAATCTAGCCTTTTAATTGATTCTTACCCATTTCATCTAATTTCTCCATGTCCCGGATAATCTGTTTGGGATCCTTCATTTTTAAAACAGCAGCTCGTACCATCATGCGTTGTTTTTTGTTCTTAGAAAAAGGAAAGAGGAGTATGTCAAGAAGCTGGACACTCATGAGTTATTTCAATTTGCTTCAAGAATCTATTTAAATTGAAGTTGAACTTCTTGATTCGATCACTTGTTTCAACCACCAGGAATAGAGCTATGTAATTACCTACTCTCAAAATTGTTTCAACTTTAGACAAAAAGGTAAATAAGTGTTATTTACTAGATATGCTTTCTGAGGCAAATATTTGTGAGAGCTAAAGTGGTTACTTTTATTATAAGTCTTTTAAACAAAGGTTTTCAGCCTCTGCAGGATTTTTTGCTAAATAATGCAACAAGAACATACAACTGGAAATGATTAAAAATCTGAGTTTTCTCAATGTATTAAGGAATGATTCCAAAAAGTAAATCTTTATTCTGAGGAAGCACTTTGCCACCAACTCAATAGCTACATAACCCAAAAATGAATGCACAAAGCTATTTAGCATATTTATTTTCATCCATTAATTCAGTAGCTTTTAAGAAAGCAATATGTATTATTAACAAAAAAGAATTACTTTTAAAAGTATTTACGTATCTCACTGGGAAAGGTATTCAAATAAACAATGTTACAATGACCCATTGGGACTTATCTGCAAGTTTATTTAGGTCAGTTTCCAAGTACAAATGGTACCCAACTTACCATGGTTTGATTTAGGATTTTTTTGTGTGACTTTACAGTGGTGCTAAAGCCATACACATTCAGTAGAGACTGTATTTCAAATTTTGATCTTTTCCTGGGCTAGCCACATGCAGTATGATATTCTCTCATGATTCTGGGGCAGCAGCAATATGATTCTGCTCAACTGTAGGGTGATGTTAGTGTTCTGAGCATGTTTAAGGTAGGCTAGGTGTATTAAACATATTTTCAACTTAATGTGTTTTCAGCTTACAATGGGATTTTTGGAACTTAACGCCATCATAAGTCAAGAAGCATCTATATGGTATTCTGGTTTAGTAAATTTCATGGTTTGGCAAATAACTGGAAATATTATTTTGAAATCCACCAATTCCAAATGTTAAGATGTGCCAAACAAGACTATAGCTAATTTGATGCATCTGAAATCATACCTTCTTTAGTTCTCTCTTCCGGGCTTCTTTTCCTAGAGAGAGAAAATAAAACTTTCAAATCTTGAACATTATTATAGTAGTTTCTCAACAGAGATAATTCCTATTGTGAGAGGCTGTCCTTTACACTGTAGGACATTTAGCAACATTCTTGGCCTCCACCTACTAGATGCCAGTAACATTCTTCTAATTTTGTCAACCAAAAATGTCATGAGAAATTTTTGTTCTAAGTTTCTTAAGAAATAACTAGGAACTGGAAGAAAAAAAATGCATATCAAAAGAAGCTTTAAGACAATTCTACTTTGCAAGTCAAACAAATTAGAAATATGGGCACAAATTTTTTTTGCAGGTTTAAAGTTTTAATAACATGCCCACAAGAACACTGGATAACTTTATACAAGTGACTCTGAGCACTGATGATCTTGTAATTAGGACATCATGAAATAGATTTCCAATTACTTGTAATTTTTACCAGTCTTGTTTACCCTTCCACGTTAATGGAAACTTACGGGCTTGGTCTGTGGGGTTCATAAATTTCCCACTCTTGGTGGATGATGTAGATCTTCGTCCCATGTTGACAATCTGTATGATTCACTTGTTCATTAAAAAAAAAAATTCTGCGTCAACATAATAATGTCCAAACCTGTAGAAAATTTGTATGAATTTATTATAGATTATTGAGCCAAACTGTGAACTTGCAAAATCTCAAAAGTGTTCCGGAGAATAAGTTTTGTAGTTCTTTTTAAAGCTTTAGAAATAAGGATGGACTCTAAGGAAGATTACATTAAGGTGGGAAAAAGCAAGGCAGGGAGATCTCTCTGACTGGACTAGCAGACAGTTAACAAGATTATGTACTCCCCCAAGGATCATTAACCTGAGGGGTGTGAAAAAGAGCCATTTTAAAAGTGTGTTAACCAAGTTCTCGTTCTCTCTCTCCTGTTCTCTCTCGTTCTCCTCTCTCTCTCTCTCTCTCTCTCTCTCTCTCTCTCTCACACACACACACACACACACACACACACACACACACACACGAGGGGGAGGGGCAGGGCTTGATCAACGCAAAGATAAACCTTTTACTAGGGAAGTTATAGGCCTGAGGTAAAATTTTGACCATATAATTATACCTTTCCTTCTTTATGAAGATTTTTATCAGACAAGTTTATTAGCTAATTCACCTCTTTCAGCAAGTGTTCAACAGCCTTGACTTCTGCTAAATGTTTCAAAGCCATTCCAAGGGCAACTAATTGACCCTGTCAAGGATTTCCTTCTTAGAAAAACTGGGAGTGGGGGAGAAGGCGGAAGCAAGCAAAATTAGTATAAATACAAGCTCTCATATCTTTGATTGCCCGCATCTTTTTGGCTTTCCTCTCTGAATTACTCTCAGGTTCTTATTTTGACTCACTTTCCCCAAACTGAAACAGAATATTTTTACAGAATGAAAGAGCCTCAGTCTGCGCAAACTACTATCTTGTCTTGGAGCGGAGGCAAGAGAGAAATCGAGCCACAAAACCGTGGCGGGGAAACTCTAAACAGCCAAAGCTCCAATGGGACGGAACCCAGAGCCACCAAAGGCAACAGCAGCAGCAACCGCTGAAACCATAGCGACGGTTGACCCTGACTCGAGGTACCAACATCAAAGCTAAGGCTATCTACAAGTCAACGTGCACAAACAGGAGGCGGCGCTAACCGACCCGGAACCGCTGATCGCCGCTCCGCCCCCACCTCGGGGATCCCCTAGCCTGCTAGCCGGGAGACCCCAACCGCGGAAAGGAAGAGCAGGGCAGAGGGCCCTGATGTCTCCGAGGCAACAGCGCGGGCCTCAGCAAGGGAGGGAAAAGATTAAGAATCCAATTGGAAGAATTCCGCACACTTACACTTCTGCTGGGCTCTGGGACTACGAAAAGCAACGAGGGGACGACTTTAGGCCTCCTTTACTTAGTAGGGGCCTTCACCTCTGCCTCCCGGTCAGCTACCCAGCAACCGCCATCTTGAAACCTCGCGCCCCTCCGCCATTCCTACGTCACTTCCTATCCCTGGGGGCGGACAACCTCCGCGTTTCTCCGCCCTGGAACCATAGAGATTAACTACGAACTCCAGGACCAGAGTGTTTTCCGCTCCAATACAGTACCGGATTGGTTTGTTATCGGCTAAACCCGCCCTCATTACCCAGGAAATTGATTGACATTTGTGTAGACCAATAGAAATAAGAAAACAGATCAGATATTTGATTGGCTGATGAAAAGACGGACTGCCTCTTGGGCGGGAGGTATTCTAACCTAATATCCGGGAGCTTCATTTATTTTGCCGCGCAACGCCGGCGCTTTCGATGTAGCGTGGTGTGTTTCTCGATTTGGGGTTGCCGGAATTGTGTTAATTTTCTGAAATTTTTTTTTTCATGACTTAAACTGGTGCGGTCTTTTGGGACCGTGTGTTTGAAACCTAATCCCCGAATGATACTTGCTACTGTGTTTGATGCGCTTTGCTAGCGTCATGTCCGTCCGGAAGTTCATTACTTTATAGACAACGTTTGTGGAGCGAGTCAGTGCCCGTGCTAGAATCCCAGATTGCTAAACTACGAGATTAGATTTTTAAATATGAGGTGGGGGGATTCACGTCTTGTCAGTTTTAAAATTGCGACTGGCTAGTTTATGTTGGCTTCTCCTCTTTTCCCCAGCCCAAAATCCTGTATAATGTTACTATGGATAGGGGATTATTCCCTTAGCTCTAGTTTTCGTCGTTCCTCTCTCCTATCCGCCATTTCTCTAAGACATTTCTTCTCCTTGAAGGTAATGTTAAATAAAGTTCTGCTCTTGACACGCTTGTCCCGTCCTCCCCTCATCTTAATCTGAATATCCTTTATAGGAAAATATGTTAGATATAGGCCAATTCTTACTATCGATTATCAATATTTCAAAATACAATGGAAATGCGTATTTTTAGCAGAATTGTTAAATGTGCACTTAACTGTTTAAGACTGATCCCTTACCTAAACTAAACTTTGTCTTAGGAAATTCTTAATTTGGTTTTAGACTGTATTTTGAGTCCCAGAAAGCAATAAAAAGATCTTGTTTAAAGCTTATAAATCAGGTAATAAACAAAAATATTTCATTTTGAAGGTGAACTAAATTGTGATCTTTTGCAACGAATTTTATAAAGCAATGACAGAAAAAATGATTACAATTGAAAAGTTAAAATATCTAGCTTTTAATTGTTGAGATATGCTCAGCTTTTTAAGTTTCAAGAATTAACTATAACATTCTTGCATCAACAGTTTTAATAATTTTATAAATGGAATCTAAGAGTCTCAATGTGGAGTTATTAGTTGGTGCAAGGTTTAGGAAACAAAACACTTGCATCTGCAGAATTTCAACTGAACCATTAGGCTTCTATAGCCTCTGAATTTTCCTGAAATTAGGTAATTAATGAAATGGGCCACCTAAAGCTTTATATACAATAGCAACAGCCTCCTTTCTGCTAGTATTGAAAATGAAATTTCTTTTTTTCTGAAAAGAAATATTATTTCTAATAAATTATGACTTTCCTCTAAGTGACAAATACTTAAAAGAGTAGCCACTTCCTCTCCTGTATCCTAGATACATTTTATGCATGTAAAGCTGAGATTTGCTTGTTTGTTTTTTGAATTTTCCAGAGTGTTCAAACATTCACTTGAGAGAGATGTAATCATTGCACCACAGCTGGTCAGGGTTAATCGCAATTTTAGAAACAAACCTTTATTTTTTAGTTTTAACTTTTATCTTTTATAAATCCATCCAGATTATTGTGTGTAATTCGTAGAAGTTTACAGAACCACTGCCTCCTTTCATCGTTGAAGTAAATTGTTAAAAACCGTATTTCAATCTCTTCCAGTTTAAGAAAAATTGGATTTATACTGATGGTCAAAACTATGGTAGTTTTTCTATTCAATTCGAAGGCCTAGGGTTTGTTCGCAGGTGGAAGTTACTAAGTATGTCCCCTTAGAACTAAATGATGTCTGAAGTAGAAATGAAAGTCTCTGCATTTTTAAGAATTGCAACTGGGAATTAGAAAAGGAAAAGGTAACCCCAATATATGCTTCCCTCCCATAGCATTTACTCTAATGTCCTGGTAGAGCAGAGTGAGAAGACATCCTGGGATATAATCTTTCATCTCACAGAATCTAGCACCAACTTATCTAGGCATTCATTGTTGATGCAAAACTCTAGAGTCGTCTTAGTTTTAGCATATCTAATTCCTTTTTCCAATTTGTTTACAATATTTATGTTTACCTTGGAAGTTTATGGGAAATGAACCTAATCAAAGAAACAAAACACTTATTGAGAGAAGCGGAAAATATTCCAGTGGCAAATAAAGTGGCTGTTTATTTCATTTGGTGTTTCACTGTGTTGGTGACTTCGGTAATGGCATGGTGATATTTTTCTGAGGCTGACTTGAATTCCACCAGATGCTTTTCATAACTTTTGATGGCTGCTTGAAGCTGCGTTTTCTCCACTGCTCCCAGGATGGCACGGAAGATCATATCTATGCCAAGGCCAAGAACAGCAACCCCTATACTACCAAGGAGAGAAGCACCAATTTGAGCTAACACAGTGACCAACTTGTTAATTATGCCAGTTGTGATATTTGAGCCCACGAGTTTAACAGCCACTGCACTGGCTGCAGAAGTAGCTTCTCCCAGGATGACTGAAATAACCTTTTGTACTATTGCAATTTTCTCTGTTTCCCTTTCCTGAATATCTTGAAGTTTTCTATAAAGGGTTGGCTCTAGTTTATCTTTTAGTGCTTCATCAACCTTTTGCAATTCCTTTTGGATTTGCATCACAGCTTGGATGATGATATCACAGTTTTCTTTGATGGTCCCATCTCTTTTCATTTCAATAGAGGCCAGCTTGCACCCCAAATGCATATTTAAAACCCCAATCAGCTTATTGGTGGCATTGAAGCTGTCAGATAAGCAATCAAGGAGCTGATGGTGAAGACGGTTTACTTCTTCCCGTCTCCTTGGGTTATCTGGGTAGAGGAAGTCACTATGAGCCATATTTCGAATATGATATCTGAAAAATAAAATGGTAAATTTTCACTAAAAATTTTGAAAAGTATCTGCTGTCTGCATAGATTTGACCAGGAAATCTTTTACTTTATGAACAGCAAAGTTGCAATATGCTATGTAAGAAATTCCTCAGAAAACTCAACAGGTTCTTCAAAACAATTATTTTTATGAAACTTTGAGTCAGTGTGTGGAAGTGTGGGTAACAGAATACAACCTATTGATGTGTTAATTAAGGCATTACATTTTGTGATGGGGAGGTCCTAAATAAAAAAATATTTGTGTTTCTCAAGCATCTCATTATTAATAAATAAACATGATTATTTCCAAGTAATGTTTAATAACATTTGAAATAGACTGGAGTTTGGAATGCTTAGCTCTTGATAACTAATGTTCTTTTATTTCTCTAACCTCTAGTCATCACACTGAATAGATCTATCAGATTGATTTCTCTGATATTTGGAGTTAAATTGGTAGGGCCAGAAGAATATTAAGATCTCTGAGTTTACAGAGCTATTAATATATAATTTGTTTGTATATTCTGTTATTTTAATTTACAATATTCAAATCAGTTTATATATCTTTACAGGTAAATTATTTCTACTCTAAACCAGGGGTCCCCAATTCCTGGGCTGCGGACCAGTACCGGTCCGTGGTCTGTTAGGAACTGGGCCGCACAGCAGGAAGTCAGCGGTGGGCTAGCAAGCGAAGCTTCATCTGTATTTGTAGCCGCCCTCCAGTGCTAGCTAGCATCACTGCCTCAGCTCCATCTCAGATCATCGGACATAAGATTCTCATAGGAGTATTGGTCCCTGGTGCCAAAAAGTTTGGGGACGTCTGCTCTAAAACTAAGGGACATTTGAAGGTGAATATAACATTAGAATCTTAACAAAAAAATCCTTGTGATAAGAAAATATAGTCAAAGTTCCTTGGATTAAAATCTCACTTGAGGAGAAAGTGGGCATGGTGCAGGGCAAAGTGTAATTATGACTCTGATTCTCCATTTGTAAAGCTTATAAACTGAATCATTTAGAATGGTCTGTATTGCACTTGGCTATTATTAAGATACGTTAGAGTTAGCATCGGAAAGAAGAAAATGCCATTCCACAGAAGTAGGTGCAGGAATACACTAAAGAATGAATAAAATAAGCCTGGTAGGAGCCTTCTTATGTTTGCATTTCTGGCTCAAAGTACCATGCAGAGAAGAAAAAATAAGCATGTTCTGAGTTTATTTGGGTGAAAGCTTGAGCACAGTAAGGATAATGTTACTCAATGTGCTGCATAGTTAGAATCAAGCACATTGAGTAACATTATCCTTACTGTGCTCACCCTGAGTAGGCTTACTATTTACCTGGCTCTTTTATTTTTTGTTTAAACTCTTAAGAGAAAAGGAAGAGAAAACAAAGTTCTCTATATCTGTGTGGGATCTGGCACATTCTCTGAGTAAACAGTATCGTGATTAATTGGGGCTCTATCTATTTTTGAACCATGGTTCTTAGCCTAGATCTAGGGAGACTGAGAAGCATAAGATAAAGGAGTGAAGGTATTTTTCTCTCAAGAAAGTAAACATGAAAATAGCCTATCCTCCAAATCATGAAGATATAATTTGGAAATGGAGAGGGGAACATTTTAAAAAATGGATTAGGAACAATCATTTATGCTGTTACATTTAGAAAAATTCATGGTACCTCTGGTGGAATAAACTTTATTATGGTCAGAAATTCATTTTTATCTTTGATTCAGATCCACTACACACACACACACACACACACACACACACACACACACACCCCACAAATTTCCCCAAGACTACTTAGAAAATATCTTAATTCCATTTAAAGAAATTGTTGAGTATTTATTAGATATTCCCCAAACAATATTGGGTTGCAAACTGCAATTTGATAACCACAAATTGGACTTTGATTTCTCTTTTTAATTTTAGGAATTTTCCATTAAACTTTTTTCTTTTTTTGGATTCTAGTTTTCAGATCTTACCATGAAACGAACACTCCAGTTTCTGACTTTGAATTCAGATCACCAACTAGATCCTTATTCAGATATTTGGGTGAGAGGAGTCTTACTTTGAAAAAGTGGAAAATATCTCTGGCAGCTATCATATGCCATTATAAGAAGGCATAACTTCCAGAAAAAGTATATGGTTCTATTTACTTCAAGAAAAACAAGTGGAGAATTGAAACTTCTTCCTGGATAGGAGGTTCAGTACTTCCAAGTGATCAGTTCTTTCTCAATTAATTCACTTTTAACATGACTTGACAAATTAATCATAAAATATATCCGAAACACCAAATAGGTGAAACTATTTCTTCAGGAAAAGTAATGATGGAACTTTTTCCTCCTCAAATATTAAAACACTATAAAAACACAATTTTCACCACTATTGTACAGGTGAAAATAGAATCATGCAACAAAATAGTCTTCCAAGCAGATCCTTCTATACATTCGATTTAATATATAAACATATGTAGCCATATATAAAAACATGTGGATGTATATCTATCTATCTATCTATCTATCTATCTATCTATCTATCTATCTATCTATCTATCAAGTGATCCTGGAATAATGGGCTAGTTTGAGGAGTTAAAAGTTAATGTTATCAGCATGACATGTAAAAAAATCTAATAAAATAGCTAGAAGAAAATGGATAATTTCAAATAAATATCTATATGGAAACCCATGGAAAAAAGTCATATAAAATGTTGACTAATAAAGATTACCATATTAAAAGAAAGCAAGTTGGGAGAAATTCAAGAAAAACAAAGTATGAATTTCTAAAGACTCATTATGAATAAAGAAAATGGAAATAATCTAATAGCTAACTGAGCAAACAACAGACAGTAAAAGAAGATAGTAGCTAATTCATGAAAACAAAAAATCTTACCAGAAATCAGACATATTACTTTTTCAACTATAAAAATAACATTTTCTTTATATATTCAAGCCCTTTTATACCCAGATGATTCAGACATCAATCTATAATTTTGTGCCAATAACAAGTTTGCATAAAAGATGTCATGATGTGCTCAGAATTAGTTTTCACATCTAATGAAAAAAGACTTTTATTTTTCTGAGTCAGCTTACCTTCCTAGCTTTCTTCCTTAGGAAAGGGCTTTGGGAGGGTTCCTTGTGCAAATATCGTCAGCAGACCTGCTACTATACCTGCTCCAGTACTGAATAGAGTTCAAGGTTACTTCTATCCCAACAGTGAGATAAACGCTAGAGAATTAGGTAGAGGAGAGGTGGGGCTTTAAGGTGAAACTAATGAATAATTTCTTGGACAGATGAAATTTGAAGAGCCTGGCGAAAGAAGCAATTTAATAATTTAGTAACAATTTATCTAATGGAATGGTGAGTGCCTTTCTAGTATAAGTATGCTAGGCTTTGTAGAGCACACAGAAATGAAAAGTCATGGCCCTTGCTTACATGGAATTTCTAATCTAGTTAAGAAGTTAAGACATTTAAAATTACATGTCAAGTTGAAAGTAATATGTCATTCAAAATTATAGAGAGAGGCGGTGTTTGATTTGTGCAAATTCAAGTTTTAAACAACCTACACTTTAATATCTATTGACACTGGGTCCTTATGGAGACATTCAGTTACCTAGGGAGGGTTAATAATTTGCACTCTTTTAGTTTATTACTCTTAAATATGTGCTTGACATTTATACAAGTTATCAGCCACACAGAAAATCACAGTTGGTAATGTGCAGCGTTTCTTCTGTTGCCTAGGACAATTTAATTCTGATTCTCAAATTGCTTACTTCACTCAGCAAAACAAAAGCCCTTCAATTAATGGGAGTCACCCTTCCTAAGGAGCCTACTCATTACGTAGGCATGCCAAAGCGATGTCTGATTAACAGTATATAGTACTGCTCTTAAAAGTTGTTCTGGACCATATTCTTTCCTCTATCTTATTAACTTTTCAGGGATGACCTTTTAAATATTGACTTTAAAGTTTAATCTTTAAAAAATCATTTTAAAGGCATTTTAAAAATGACTTTTAAAGATTGGCACCAGCACATAACTAAGTGATCTGGTTACCTGCACATTATGTATGGTAAATGTGAACTTTTACACGATTTGTTTTCACATAATGGTGCTCCCTATCAGTGTAAAATTCACTCTGGTCCGTTACCATCCACTTCTGTACTGCGGAGTTTGTGCTGTTATTTGCGTATTTTATTGTAGTGGCTCATGAAATAGATTCTAAAGAACCCTGGGACAGCCTGATGGAGAATTTCTAGCCAGCAGGGGGAGCTCTTGGTCTCTGGCACGCCTATTTCATCTCAGCCAATGCTAAAGCAGCAGTGTTTTCTTGTGTTTGCTGTATTAGGGCTTGTAGGTGGATAAAATTGTATTTGATGAGTGTTCTGTTGCTAAAACGGAGTTTGGAAATCACATGTATTTTAACTTGTTAATTCATAATAACAAGTAAACGTTTGGAAACGCCAGTGATCAGCATGTCTTAGGAAGTTCAATGGAAGCAAAGACTAGCTTCAGATGGATTCTTATTGAATTCATGTCAATTTTGTTGAGAAGTAAACATTCAAGATTAAAGAGCATATAAAAAAGGATATATATTGATGATTATCAAAAGGAAATATATTGATGATTATCTAAAAGTTAAGGTTTATTTAGTGATACTATACTGTTGTTTTAGTTTTTCAGGAAAGGAACCACCTTGCAAAATGAAAATAAGTATTGATTATCACATATTTGAATAAAAAATCCTCAGGATACTTTTGTGAATAACAGTAGTGCATTGCCTGTCAAGTGCTGTAGAAATTTAAAGAGAGAAATTAATACTGAGGTGATTAGTGGATGCTTCATGGAGAAAGTGATGTGATATGTGTTTTGATAGATGGTAGAATGATAACATGAAAAAATTAAATAAAACAAAGTATTTTAAAATATAAAGTCAATAGCACTAATATATAAACACTTTAAAATAGAAGGAGAAAAACACTCATCAATCTATCATGTTTTTGTTGTTGTTATTCCTTTCCAAAGCTTATTTAAATGTATAGATATTTTTACAAAGTTGTAATATTAAATAAAATTTTCACCTTATATTAATTTACTTAAATGCCCATATTTCTAGTTTTTTAATCATTTTATTGGTTAAATAAAATATTCCATAAGATATCTTGTCCATAATTTAATAAATCTCCTATTGTTTCACTATCATCATATTCTAATGAGCATTTTAATACACAGTCTCCCCCTTCATTTATCTGAATTATTTCCTCAGCATAAATTTATGGAAGAACTATATAACTAATGGAAATTAAAATTTTTATTACTTTTGATATGTATTGCAAATTGTATTCCAAAATCTTTCACACTGCCATCAAAGTCAAAGATGGTCCTGTTAAATAGTGTTGATTTGGGGAGCATAAAGTTAAATTTCAAGAAGAGTTCTTGCCTTTGTAGAAATGCATACTGAAAACATTAATGATGAAATGATGTGGTCTCTGAGATTTGCTTCCAAATAATCTAGAAAGGAGACTTGATAGGGTTATCGAGGAAATAAGATAAACCTTGTTTTGATAATTTTAAGGCTGGATTATGGATACATGGGAGTTAATTATATGAATATCTTCACTTCTGTGCATATTTTAACTTTTCCCATAATAACAATTAAAAGAAGAAAGGAAGAGGAACAAAACATGACCCTGTCTAAGCCTCTGAGTGCTCTCTGAGCTTTTATGTTTCTCCCTGTTGTCACTTTTCCTCATTATCTGTATAGGTCCAGCTATCATGCAAGGTTCTCTTATTTGGAAGTGTGAGAACAGGATATAGGTAAAGTCAGAGCTTTTCAGGAGAAAATAACAGCTACTAACTAGTCTGAGCCTCCTCCTTTAATTTAAATCAAAACCATGGACTTTAATTAAAAAAAAAAAAACATCGAAAAGTTGATCATGGTGTAATGACTGATGTAAATTTTTCTAAAGAATATTTCTGATCAGAAAGCAGAATATCAATGTCATTCATCAGCATTTATCAAATGCTTATTTGAGAAACCTCTACTATATACCTCATTGAGGCATTAAAAAAAGTAGGCAATGTTTCTTGCTCAAGAAGATAAGTCTATTTGGAAAGAGGGCAAATTCCCAATGATATTTAAATGTAATAACTTATGAAGGAGCATAAACACTACACATTAAGTAGTATTGGATTGCAAATTCATTCTTTTTCAGATACTGAGTACTCACATTAGTGTTGAAGACAGGAAATTTAACAACCCATGTAAACAACAGTCATACAGGTGTCATTTTATCCTTAATCCTTTCTAAAATTGCAGTCTTTACTGCTTAATCTTCTGACTTAATCAGTTATATAAGCTGTTAATTTTTCTTCTTTCTCTGGTGTCTTCAGAGAACTAAATAATCACAAGATATGTGCCATGGGATCCTCTTAAAACAAGTTGTTTTATTACTTTATTATACTTATGGCTAGGATTCGAGACTGACATGTTATTTCAAATTGCCTCTAATATTGAGAAACCGAGTATTATATCATTACTAATAGATATATCCATATTGCTTACCTTGCTGTGTTTCTGAGTTCAGTAGTCCCAGCAGTTGTTTCGCAGTATTGTTGAAGTGCTTTTTCATCTGGTTCATCTGGATTTTTCTGATGGAATGTGATGACTTAGAGGCTTTGCTAGTCTCTGCTGGGTCCCTCTGCCTGTCTGGTTTATAGACTACTTCTGCATAGCTTAGTTTGCAGAATTCTTCTATTTCCTAGATTAATATAAAATTGGTGTATATTAAGTAATATAATCTGAAAGACTAATAAAGTAAAACATTTATTTTTCTATTCTCTAATGGACTATATATTATTTAAAATTACTATACAACTGAGCTAAACATTTATTTTTCTATTCTCTAATGGACTATATATTGTTAAAAATTACTATACAACTGAGCTAAACATTTCTTTTTCTATTCTCTAATGGACTATATATTGTTAAAAATTACTATACAACTGAGCTAATTCAGTTGGATAGAGTAGATGGCTCTTCGATTGCACCTCTCAGATTTGGAGATTTCATCTTGTTAGCTATTCAAATATTAAGTTTTCCCTAGCTTCTGTTTCATTTATAGCTCCATCTGTTGCTGATTGCTTTGTTTAGGTTTCCGAAAGATATAAATCCAACTATATTTTCAGCCAAATGAGGAGTTTTTTTGTGTGCTCTATTAATTTCTCTGCTCTTCATCACTATCTTTCCTGTTATCTTGGCGAATTGTCTTGATGATATAAAAAGCTTAAAGACCAATGTGACTCTTTTATTCCTTAAAGCTTGGATCGGAGTCTTCCATACTTCTTCCTCTGGATTCTGTCCTAATCTCCATTGACTTCTCTACAACAAAGATACCTCAGAAGTAGGAGAAATCACTCAGCCTAGTATAATTTTGTGGAAAAACTGCAGGCTTTAGAATAAGATAGTCCTGATTTTGTATACCTGAAGTACCACTTACTAACCATGTAACCCTGAGAAAATCACTTAATCTCTCTAAATATTTTCATTGGTGTAGTGTGAGTACATAATTTATGGGTTGTCATAAGGATTAAGTGAGATAATGCATGTAAAGCACTTGACATAGTGCCTGATATATGACAAAAAGTTACTAAGTGGTAGTTCTTATATTAACAGCAATACTTTCTGCTGTTATTGGGTGAGGAGAGGATACAGAACCAAGATGGTAGCTAGGACTTGTAAAATCTAAAGGTGTTGCCTTATTATGGTCCTAAAGAAAGGTTAAATGGGGTACTAGTGGGTCATTTTGCACTCAGTGTAGACTAGAGCCTCACCATGTAGGGACATGGGAGAAAAAGCAAAAAGCATGTGTGGCCAGTGGATCTGAGCTATGTATGGATGGACAGGAAGGATTTCTACAGACATGTAGGGGCTGGGGTATGGAGGAGATAATATAGGTGCAGGGAACTATGATCAAAGGAGCTGGACAAAAAAAAATCGTAGGGCATTTTTGGGGGATAAAATTAATCCACTCTGCTGATGGTACAGGTATATATGAAAACTGAAGGGAAGGCAAGTTGTGAAAATACTTGAGCAGTTTGTAGATTGTCTTAAATGTCATGCTAGGAACTTTATTTTATTCTGTAGGTAATACTTAACCTTTAAAGTTTTTGACTGTGGGATAACATTAGGAGGTTGGGATTTCAGAAAGGTCACTTTATATAAACTGAATTAGTTGGTATGGACAAGAAACATGGGCCACCAACTCCAGGGCCTACAGTAGCTGGAGAAGATAGGTAAGTAATTGAAACACTTAGTGTAAGACAAAAGAGTGTAGAGGGTGGATGTACTCTAAAGAGGACAATTTCAGCTCTTGGTAATTTTTCTAACTAGAACCTGGGCTTAGTGCTGCCAGTTAATTTCATTTTTTTTTTCTCAATAATCTAGAGAAATCAAAATTTCTATCTTTCAGTTTTTAAATCTGATAACTGATACAAATTTTAAACATACATTGTACTGGTCAAATAAGACACATCTGCTGATTGGATTTTGCCTGTGGACTGCATTTTTTACCTCTGGAACTAAAAGTATTGAGACCAAATGTGAGACTATTAAAATTGTCTAGATGAGAGAGAGGAATTGGAGTAGTAGTTATGGGACTGTCAGGGACGGGTTACACAGAAATAAGATCAGAGAGAATTAACAAGTCTCAGGGACAGATTTGATACGGGGAAGAGAAAATGAAAATGGATTTTGAGCTTCAACAATGAAGCAAAGGTTAAGAGGAGAAGGTGATTTTAGAGGAGACAAGAGCAGTTTGGGGATACATTGTGTGGAAAATACTGGTGCAGTCACCTATAGAAATGACCAATAGGTAGTTGAAAATGTAGACCTGGAGGTCAGGAAAACTGCTGAGGCTACACTAGGAAATTGAGGAGTCATCTGGATACAGATGGCATTTGTAGTTATGGGGACAGTTGAGATCTCCAAGGGATAAAGTATAGAATATAAGTATATATTCTATACTTTACAGCCTTACTGAGCTTACTGACTGGAGAGCTATTGGTGGTAGAAGGAGGAAGAGAAACCTGTTAAAAAAAATAAATGCTTAGAGAGAATATAGAAGGACCAGAGTTGTACAACATCATGGAGGCTTCAGGAAGAGAAAATTTCAAAGTAGGAAGAGGTATTTGGCAATTTAAGTAATGCAGAGAGCTCTAGATGGTTAGGGCCAGGAAATGGGGCAATGGATTTGATAATTAGAAGTTATTGGTACCTTATAGGAAAATAATGGAGCACAGGATAAATTATAATGATGCAAAAAATTTCTCTTTTGAGAAATTAGAGAATTGAAGGAATGAGACAGAATCATTACTGGAAGGGAAATCAGGGTCAAACTTTTTTTTTTTTTTAACTGAGTAGGGAACTGAGTATGTATGTAGTTAAAAAGAGAAGGAAAATTTAAAGAGGGAGAGATAGAGGATGAAAGATATAATAGCTTGGGCTGCCAATTTACTAAATAAGAATATATTCTTATTAAAAAGAATGTATTGTTAAAAAATTAAGGTAGTAGTACATTTGAGGATGTTTCTAAATATTATATTTCATCTTATAGGATAATTGGATAAACTTAAACTAATTTTCCCTCTTAGTAATTCTATTTCTAATTATTACAATGCAAAGTTCAGGTAAATATAAACATTATTATTAGATAATCTGGTAGAAACAACTGTCCAAGGTTAGGAAACAAAATAACCCTCTTCATTTTTGTCTCACATGCCAATTTTTATATATCTCAAGGCCTCGCCTCTCGTAAGCAACTAATCAATATTTTTGACATGATTTACCTAGAAGTAGATAAGGTCAGCAAATGAAGAGTAATAGAATTTTCTTGCTTACATGAATAAGATCAAGGTAGATGATTTATTCTCATTTGTCTCCTTCTGAGGTCTTATGATTAGGAGGTATTAGAGGCTGAAAAATTGAGGTGCTCTAATGTTTCACAGTGAAAAGACCATAACGCTTGTAGAAGTAGGAGGTCTGAGATGTGCTTTACTGGGGAAGAACAGTCAGACATGTCCATTTCCCTACCATAAAGTCTTTGGCTTTCCTGCATTGTAAATGAGTGCACACTCTCAATATTGCTCTGTTTCACGTGATACCTAACATTAAATTTGTTGAGAATAAGAAAAACAATGAATAACTATAGTTTTTTAATTTTAATTTTCCTCCTGAAAATGTCTAAATTGTTTCCCCCCATTTTCTTCTTTAAAACAAAAACATACTTCCCTATACTCTGAAGATGAAGAACTAAAAGGGAAAGGACTTGAGTGTGAGCATTTGATGGAGAGAGAGAGAGAGAGAAGGTACTCTATGTACTTTCTCGCCTGTCACTTCCACCAAGGTTGCCAGATAACCTCCTTAGTCATGGATACTTTACAGTTGCCCTTTTGTTAGTTTGAGCCAAGAGCTCAGCTCCAAATCCAACACTGTCATTGTAATTACTGTTGTAATGGTCAGTGAGGAATCCCTTCCTTACTCCCTTTCAGTAAGACCTTGGGAACATCCTGTGGTGAGGGTCAAGGGGATTTTTGACCACTTCCAGAGTTTAGAGGGTGTGGAAAAAGCATGACTTTTAATACATTAACTGCATTTTGTTTCAGCTCCAAAGCTGGAACTTTGTTCATTTGAAATAGATATCCATTAAAACCTGTCTTATTTTGAGGAGGCTCTTGAGCTGATCCATTTGCTACCCTCCCCTCAAAAATACACATGTATAAATGGGAAGAAGAGGTACAGCTCTCACTTTGTTACTTTTTCTGAATCTGTATGTGCCCAGGGTTTCACCATCTCTTCTTGGTTTTAGGATTGTGTCCCAGGATATTTCAACGCTAGGGGATTCACATGGAAATGAATGGGACAAGGACCAGGAAAAGTCCTGGGGCAGTCTATGAAATGACTGGAAGAATGGCTGGTAGCAGTTCAAGGGAAGCCTTCACCAGATGCTCACAGGAACAACGGCTAGTGTTAGAGATGGGTGGTGCCTACTTCAATAAAGTGTGGTGGTTTTCAGATGCCGGTGGCTCTTGTGAGGCTGGCCATCACTTACGATGCCTCTCTCAGTCATTTTCCCACCACTGGGCATCACTAATCTGCCCACTCTGATGACTTCTTGTCTGCTGCTGCTTCCCAGCTTGTGGAACTATTAGGGGAAAGCTGTACTCTTCTCAAACCTATTACTTATTTAATGTTTTTCTCAAATACTTTGGTTTTGGGTTCCTCTCATTTACTCTCAATTCATTCAGGTTTTGAAAAACAAAGTGAGGTAGGTGCACTTTTTCAAAAATTAAATTTATTGAGGTGACATTGGTTAATAAGATTTTATAGGCTTCAAATGTACAATTCAATAATACATTATCTGTATATTGCATTGTGTGTTCACCACCCAAAGTCAAATCTCCTTCCATCACCATATGTTTGACCCTTTTACCCTTGTCTACCCTGCCTCCGCCCCCCTGCTTTCCTTTGGTGCACTTGTTTTTATCTTATGCCTCCTCTCGTTCTTCCTCTGAGGCCATGCGCATAGTATAGCCTAACTGAATGGAGCATAAGTGGGGAGAAAAAAGTTAACTGGCATAAAGCAAAACAAAACAAAACACATGATCGTTTGCTACAAAATAATAAAAAGAAGAAAGTCCTGTAATACTTGTAATACCTCTTGCCCCCCGCCCCCACTTTTTATCAGTCACCAATGGGTGCTACATCTTGGTATCTCTGAAAGCATCTAGATAAATAAATGTCTGTTGAATTTTACCAAATCAAGAACTAGTTCATTTAGTATGTCAAAATCCCTGTGCAATGAATCATAACAATTATCTTTATGGAAGGTCTATGCATGCTTTATTGAGTATAGAGGTCAATGAAAGCTAGATGACAGAGATACACTTGGCCCTGTTATTCTCAAAATCCCAATGTAAAGAATGATAATACTAGATGGCTGAATTCTTTCTCTCTACCAGGTGATTTTACGCAGTTAAGTCCCCATTGAGTCTCTTTTGTCATTGCACAGGTCCTTCAGGAAGTCCTGCTGGGGCTGGATGAGTTGATTTTCACTTTCGTCGTTTCTTATCCAAATCTCAGAGGGGCTAAGGAGTGCGGACTTCCAGAATTCAAGCTGTCGAAGTCAGCTATTACCTTCGCTCCATTGAGAACAATATTCTTTGGCGAAGCGGTAGGGCAATCCCCATTGCCCCGCCTATGTTTTAATACTACCGAAGAGTTAGAGGACATCCGCAGCTGTGAAGTTTGATGATTTATACTTCTTTTTAATTGTTTGCATGTAATGTGGACTCAATAGATCTTTGATATTTGCTTGGTAATTAGATGTTTTCTTTTCTTTCTTTCTTTCTTTCTTTCTTTCTTCTTTCTTTCTTCTTTCTTTCTTTCTTTCTTTCTTCTTTCTTTCTTCTTTCTTTCTTTCTTTCTTTCTTCTTTCTTTCTTCTTTCTTTCTTTCTTTCTTTCTTCTTTCTTTCTTTCTTTCTTTCTTTCTTTCTTTCTTCCTTTCTTTCTTTCTTTCTTTCTTTCTTTGTTTACCTCCATAAGCATCTACAAGCTTTGCTAATGTATATAAATTTGCAACAAATATTTAAAATCCAATTTACCACAAAGTTCTCTGTAAATTAACATATGAGTTTAAATTCTAACTTTTGTAATAGGTTAGAAACATGTGTGCAACACCTCATTACTGGCAGTGAATGAGATTTCGCTAACATCTTTCACTTGTATTTCTCAAGTTTCCATGTTTCCTTCCATCTGAGACTACACTCATTTGGTCTTGAATACCGATAAAAACTTCTGAAGAAAATTAATTTCTTAATTATGTCTCTGGGGCTCAAAGCTTTTTCATTTGATGGAGAATTTGGCATTTGCTTTCTTCTAACTCAAGCTTCTCTGATTTCTTCCTATTTAAGACTACTAAATCAAAAATAAAGGAACATTCTTATATTCATCATAACTCCAATTTGCTTGAGATAGAAAGTTTAATTCAAATTATTTAAGCGAAAATATAATTTATTGATTCGTGTAACTAAAAAGCCCATAGTATCAGTTGTAGGCACAGTGGGATCTAGTGGCTTAAACACTCTCATCAGGGCTCAGTTTCCTTTCACTTCTCAGCTCTTCCTTCACTGTGTTGGTTTCATTCTAAGGGAGTTAAGGTCCCCTCTCCCAGGGGCAAGATAGCTGCTAGCAGCTCTAGGCTCACACACTGTTTTCATTAATCTCCACTTAGGAAAAAAAAAAAAAAAGCCCACCCCACTCCCAAATCTAAAGCCAAAAAAGCACCCTGAATTTATCTCACAGACTCTGATTGGGCCATTTTCTATTCCAGCATAGATCTCCGTGTCCATGGAGAAGAAATATACTGAGTTACATGCCCATTCATAGGCAGGAGGCTGAGCTAGATCTGCATCAATTGATGATGGGAGCGCAGAGCAATCCCTCAAGGATATTTAGGGTACCCTAATTGGAATAAATCAAAAGGGTACAGGAAAAGCAAAACAATAAGTTTCCTTTATACTCCACTTTTAGAAGAGAAGATGACACTGATCAAAAAAGAGAGAGTAGCAATAACGACAGGAGCAGGGATGCACTTGATGCTGAAAGCTGTGAAAACAAACAAAAAAGTTAGAAATGTTTTAGCTAGCAGACATTTTAAAAACTACCTCATTTCTCCTTTGATTAACTTTTTTTTAACTTAGAAAATTCCTAATAAAAATATTCGAACTTAATGCCTTTTAATAAAGTATTCTCTTAGATTTTTTTAAAACTAACATGTCAGTTTACTTATTTTGTAGATGATGAAACAGCCATCAAGAGGTTAAGAGATTTTCTTTAGATTACTCAGTGAGCTGGTGGTGGAGATCTCCTGATTGTCAACCTTTATTGCTAAAATTAGCATCATCACCATCACCATCACTCTCATCTTAACTGTCATCATCTTCAACTCCATTATGAAAGTTAACATTAAGTAATTATTCTGTGCTAGGATCTGTTTTAAGCACTTGCTGTAAATTAACTCACTTAATCTTCATGACAAACCTCTGAGATATTCTCATTATCCTCATTTTTTAGTTGATGAAACTGTGACACAGAAATGTGAAGACATTTGCCAAATGTCATACACCTAGTATGTAGTGTAGGCAGCATTCAAACTCAGACAATCTGGCCCAACTCTATATTTTCAATCGATGTATTGTCTCCCCATATATTGTCTCCTCATAGAATTTTTATTTTTTTTAAATTTTTTTATTATAAGGTAGGCAAAAAGTATTCACAAATCTTACTGTGGTGTGTGT